CGGGGGTGGGTTTGCTGGATATCACCTGTGTGAGCCTGAGGAACGCTCTTAAGTACAAAATAAGACAGCAGGTGAGTGTATTCAGGTCCCCGGTTTCTTCACTCTTCCTCCTGCTCTTCTTGGAACAGATTGGCGGGGCTCCCAGGAGGGGACAAAAGGGGTTGTAAACTATTCAGCTAAAAGGAAGTGAAAATATTCCTCCAAACTCTCCCTGGATAAACCTGGGACCAACAACGAGGGCATATTTGAAAGACAAGAAAAACTTTGGGACTATTAGTGCCCTTGAAAGGACTTGTCAAACAAACTGACCCACAAACCTCCACCAGGGAGGGGCGATTGGGAAATATTTGGTCAGGCCAGAGATGGTGCACCAGGGGAAGCACGTCCAATCCGGGAAATGCCCTGGCAGCTGCCCCCACACACTGCAGCCTCCCCTCTGCCAGGTTTCCCAGTGCTGTATCCATTTCACTTAACTCCCGCTCCCCACCCCCTTCTGTGCAATGGTATTTTTATTTAACACAAGAAAAAAATTATTCTAGGCTGGACGCAGAATTGAAATCCTAAACTTCTACCTTCCTAATGTTTAAAAAAATACTAGCTGTCCATACCTTCGTCTTTCCTTAGAAAACACTTATTTTGTGATGCACCGTAAAGAACATAAAGCAAGCAGTGATACCAATGCAAACTGTCCTCCGCTGCCTCTTTCACCCTTTCTCCCTTAGTGGGGTAAGGCCACCAGGCACCTCAGTCCCAAGGGGCTCAGGGTCCTGCCGCCCGACTCCCCTGCAGCTCTGGGGAAACAGTGAGGTGGTCCAGGTAACAGACAAAAGCAACCAATGCTATGGGACCCGCCAAGTGTCCAGTCTGCCAAGGGGTGAAGCCCTCGCCCACTGCTGACTCCACCCGATGGCCCTCTCAGGAGGGGCCGCTCCCCCAAGGGCAGGGTCCTTGCAGGGTTTGTGTACAGAGCACCTGGCTGGTGTTCAGTGGACACCTGTCAGATGAACTCAGGTGCAAATAAGCCATCGCGTGCTGTATGGAGGTGTTGCTGACTGGGCTTCTCCCCACTCTGGACCTAAGAACCTGTGAACCCCGAAGACCTCAGCGAGCAGAGTCCATTTCCACCCGGCCCCCTGGCCCCCTGGAAATCAGCCGCCTGGGCCTGTCTTCCTCTCTCCATCCTGCTGGGTTCCTTCACCAAAGCAGCTCCACCATAAAGGCCCCAGGCCTTGCTCCGCAATCAGCTGGCTTCTGATGGAGAAAGGGGAGGGCTCCCCTGGGGTGGGGCAAGGACCCACTCCACAGGCCTGGGGGGTGCGGCACCAGCACCCGCTTAGCACACCAACTCTGGTGGTCACTTGCCAGAGCTGCTGACCGGCTTCCTTGTGCTCGTTTCTAACTTGCTGAACAATTAAGATTTGCACAAGAGAAATAGAAGTGGGGTGGCCCCAACGTCCCCGAATATATCCCTGCCAGGCTCCCGAGGGCCCTGGGCAGTGGGAGGTCCCTCTCCAGGACCTGGGGTGTCCCCCCCACAGTGGAAGCTGGGGTGCTGTCACCTGGCACCGCTTTATAGCCTCATTCTGCAGATCTCCGAGGTTCCCTGGGCTCGCCTGGTACTTTCCCTAACAGAGGCCCTGAGGCCCAGTGCTTCCGCCAGAAATTGGGGGACACGTGGGACCCTTACTTCGATAACCTGGACCATAGAGTAAGGAGTCCAAAGAGGACCCAGCTGTGCTGCGCTTCGGGGTTTTCGGAACCTCCCTGGACCCAAGGCTTTTGCGGGGCGGGGCGAGACGAGGGGCCACGCGCCAGCCCGCGGGAAGGCTGCGCCCTGGGGACCCGGGGGTTAAGTCGCTGGCGGC